TAATATATATATCTCTCTCCTTATATATCTTGTTATATATTAAATTATTATATATTATATTATTATAAAAAGATATATATAGTGTATGTATAGACATCCAGGTAAAACAATAAAAAGAAAAACAATTAAACTTAACCAACTGCTGCATATACACCCTAATCAGCTGCTGCAGCTGCTGCTGCTGCTGCAGCAGCAGCAATTGCAGCAGCAGCAACAAAACAAACACTCCCACGGGTGGCGGCGGGCAGGTACAAACCCTAAACCCTAAACCCTAAACCCTAAACCCTAATTTCTAAACCCTAAATTCTAAGCATCGAAGACCCTAAACCCTAAACCCTAAACCCTAAACTCCAAAACCCTAAACCCCTAACTCCCCAAAACCCTAAACCCTAAACCCTAAACCCTAAACCCTAAACCCTAAACCCTAAACCCTAAGGCTCACAATGCACAACAGAAGCTGCAGCGGATGCCTCCGCCGAATCATGTGCAGCCCACAGAGGGTTTCTCTCGCTGTTAAAATATTTAAAGATAATTTTATTTGTTTTAATTCAATAAACAAAATAAACAAACACAAAAGACAAGTTAAGCGCCAGCAAACAAATAATATAAAGCAGCAGCAGCAGCAGCAACAGCAGCAGCAGCAGCGATAATGTCGGAAGCAACATAAAATGCAGCAGCAAAACAACATACATGCAGCAGAAACAAAACAGCAGCAGCAGCAACACAACCACAAGCACTCGTCACAGCAACTTCAACAGCAGCAGCAACAGAAACTGCAGCAGCAGCAGCAGCAGCAGCAGCAGCAGCAGCAGCAGCAGCAGCTTACCACTCGCACACGTTGCCCATTGTGCTAACTCTGGATAAGGAGAAAGCAAAGCCTGAGATAACGCAGCAGCAAATTCATACATCGAAAGCACTGCTGCTGCTGTTGCTGCTGCTGTTTCTGTTGCTGCTGCTGCTGCTGCGCCAACTCAAGAGCACTCGGAAGCAGGAGAGGCAGCAGAAGAAGCGCATGCAAACTTCTGCTGCTGCTGCTGCTGCTGCGGCAGCTGCGTGGATATCAACTGCTGCTGTGGCTGCAGGGCCAATAGCAGTGGCCCATATCCCTGCTGCTGCTGCTGTTGCTGCTGCTGTTGCCGCTGCTGCTGCTGCTGCCGTTGCTGCTGCTGCTGCTGCTGCTGCTGCTGCTGCTGCTGCAGTGCTCGCCGCGCGCTGCGAGCAGCAGAAAGCAACAGCTATGCTACAGTGTGCTCTCCTGTGTGTCACTGGGTTCCTCCTGCTGCTGCTGCTGCCGCTGTTGTCGCTGCTGCTGCTGCTACTGCTGCTGCCGCACTCGAGCCGACGGTCCGCCGCAGCAGTCACGGGAAGGGATGCTGTTGCTGCTGCTGCTGCTGCTGCTGCTGCTGCGCATAATGTTGCTAATTAAATTCACAAGTGAGAGTATAAAAAGAGGCAGCAAGAGTCGCGAGTACAGCAGCAGCAGCAGCAGCAACAACAGCAACAGCATATGATGCAGCAGCAGCTGCTGCTCGTGCCCTCCTTACCTGCTAGCTGATATAGCAGCAACAGCAGATTCTGCAGCAGCAAATTGCTTCTTCTAGTAAATATAAGAAAAAGGTTTATATATGGGGACGCCTTTGGAGGCGGATCTGCAGCAGCAGCAGCAGCCGCTCCCTCAGTGGCAGCTGCTGTTGCTGCTGCTGCTGCTGCAGCAGCAGCAGCAGCAGCTACTGAGCAGCAGAGTAACAGGTGCTCCCTCTTCTTTACCTGTTTCGTTTCTTGTTTCTTTTATATAATTTTTTTAAATATGTTTTTGCTTATATTAATAAATAGTCTGCATAATTAGTATTTACTCCTACATTCCTGCTGCAGCAGCAACTCCGTCGCCGCTGCTGCTGCTGCTGCTGCTGCTGCTGCTGCCGCTGGTCAGTGGTACAGACCGCCGGTTGTTGCTGCGTCTGCTGCTGCTGTCGCTGTTTGAATTGTAGGGGATTAAAATAAATAAAATAAATAATTAATTGTTAATTAGTAAAACAGCAGCAAACTAGAGAGTGCTGCAGCAGCGAGCTCCGCCGTCTATGCCTTGCTGCTGCTGTCAGCAGCAGAAAAGATGCAGCAGCAGCAAATGCAGCAAATTGCATTTGTTAGACAGAAGGCACCCAGGTACTGCAACCCCTCACCCATCTAAACGAATCACCAGCAGCAGCAGCAGCAGCAGCAACAGCAGTAGCAGCAGCGGCGTTGAACTGCTCCAGCTAGCTGCTGGAGCAGCAACTGCTGCAGCACTGCTGCAGCAAACGCCAGGAGTTAGGGTATCCATGAGTAGCTGGGTCTAGCTCTTAGAAATATAGCCCCCCACCGCAGCAGCAGCAGCAACAACAGCAGCAGCAGCAGCAGCAGCAGCAGGTAAGTCTACTATAGCAGTTTAAGCCGAATCAGTGGATGCAGCAGCAAATACAGCTTAGGCGGGGATGCCTTGCGACTGCTGCAGCAGCAGCAGCACCAGCAACAGCAGCAGCAATTGCTGCAATGGCAGCACTAAATGCTGCAGCAACATTCGCTGCACAAAATAATGCAGCAACAACTGCAGCAGCAAGTGCTGCAGCAGCAGGATACAGCCCCAAACTGATATAATCTGCTGCTGCTGCTGCAACTACACTAAAATAAATAAATTTGTTTGTCTTTCAACATTCACAACCTAAACAAAAAACAGATATCCGGTAGTCTGTGCTGCAGCAACCGCTGCAGCAGCAGACGCTGCAGCAGCAATTGCTGCAGCAGCAGACGCTGCAGCAGCAATCGCTGCGGCAGCAGACGCTGCAGCAGCAATTGCTGCAGCAGCAGACACTGCAGCAGCAATCGCTGCGGCAGCAGACGCTGCAGCAGCAATTGCTGCAGCAGAAAACTGCGTAGCAGCAGCATCAATTACTGCCCTTGAGTAAAACATATAAAATATATAAAATATATAAATATATAAAA